TGTAGTCCCAGCTACTCAGGAGGCTGAGGCAGGAGAATTGCTTGAACCCGGGAGGCAGAGGTTGCAGTGAGCCGAGACTGCGCCGTTGCACTCCAGCCTGGGTGACAAAGCGAAACTCCATCTCAAAAAAAAATCACCCTAGTTGCCACTCTGGCCTTGTTGCCCATCACGGTAATTGCGTCCACTTTACCTGTGAGAGCTCAGTGCCACTGCCTGGCCTCTGCTGACCAGTCATCCCATTCACAACAGGGAACTCTGTTCTGTGGCAGAATCTCCTACTGTTAACCCTGCTGAGGCAGCTGTCACTGAACAATCCCGGTGTTGCCCTCAGTTCATCCTTTATTGTCTGAGTGAACGGGAAGCTATTTAGGCCCTCTGAGATAACATAGGTGTTTGGTTCTCAGGACTCATGTAAGAAATTCATCTTAACACACACTGAGTCTGCTGACACCCTTCCTCTGCTCATCATTTCAGCAACTCTACCTCATTTACTGTAGGCCATCATTCCTCACCAAGTATTGGATTGTGGGTTTTTTTCCTTTTCATAGACGGAGTCTCATTATATTGCCTAGCCTAGTTCTGAACTCCTGGGCTCAAGCAGTCCTCCCATCTCAGCTTCTTGAGTAGCTGAAACTACAGATGTGTGCCACCATTCCCAGCTAATTTTTTTTTGTAGAGACTGGGTCTCACTGTGTTGCCAGGGTGGTCTGGAACTCCCGAGTTCAAGCAGTTCTCTTACCTCAGCCTCCCAGAGTGTTGACACTACAGGCGTGAGCCACTGCACCCAGCTGATGATTTAATACATGAAAACCACTTGGAAAAGAGCCAGGCAATGCTGACACAGAGTATATGCCATGTATCAGCTGCTGCTACCATCACTTGCAAATCCCATCTCCTCTATAACCTCAACTCTGAAAACCTCTGAAAACAGTATCTTTCCACTCCAGCTTTACTGAACCTGCCCAGGGCTTGAATGCTGGTTAGATGGAGAAGGATGAGGAGTATAATCAAAGAAAACTTAAAAAATTTTGACCCTGACAGGCTTACAGAAATTTTAAGAGAGGGCAATAAATGGGAACGTGGGATCTGGTTTGAAACATACTATGAAACTAGAAAGTCCAGTTGTAACTGCTCTGCAGTCCACTGGAGACCCACAACTGAGGCTTGGGAGAGCCATCAGGACAACATGGGCAGATTATTTTTCTTCTTTGAGACACAGTCTCGCTCTGTTGCCCAGGCTAGAGTGCAGTGGCCTGATCTCAGCTCCCTGCAGCCTCCACCTCCTGAGTTCAAGTGATTCTCCTGCCTCAGCATCCCGAGTAGCTGGGAGTACAGGCACATGCCACCAAGCCTGGCTAATTTTTGTATTTTTAGTAGAGACGGTTTCACCATGTTGGCCAGGCTGGTCTCGAACTCCTGACCTCATGATCCACCCACCTTGGTCTCCCAAAGTGCTGGGATTACAGCCTTGAGAACACAGGCAGATTTAAAACTTATTTGCATAGGCTGGGCGTAGTGGCACATGCCTGTAATCCCAGCACTTTGGGAGGCTGAGGCAGGCAGATCATGAGGTCAGGAGTTTGAGACCAGCCTGGCCAACATGGTGAAACCCTGTATCTACTAAAAATACAAAAATTAGCTGGGCGTGGTGGTGGGCGCCTATAATCTCAGCTACTAGGGAGGCTGAGGTTGCAGTAAGCCAAGATTGCTCAACTGCACTCCAGCCTGGGCAAGAGCGAGACTCTGTCTCAAAAAAAAAAAATAAAAATAAAAAATAATCTATAAAGTAATTTTATTTTAGAGACCGTCTTGCTCTGTCATCATGCGGTGGTGCAATCACAGGGGCTCACTGCAGCCTCAACTTCTGGGCTCAAGCAATCCTCTTAACCTCAGCCTCCCGAGTAGCTGGGACCGCAAGTGTGCACCACCACACCCAGCTAATTTTTTTTTTGGAGACGGAGTCTCACTCTGTCGCCCAGACTGGAGTACAATGGCGCGATCTCGTGTGTAAGTGATTCTCCTCCCTCAGTCTACTGAGCAGCTGGGATTACAGGCATGCACCACCACACCCAACTGATTTTTTGTTTGTTTGCTTTTAGGAGACACCCAACTGATTTTTTGTTTGTTTGCGTTTCACCATGTTGGTCAGGCTGGTCTCAAACTCCTGACCTTGTGACCTGCCCACCTTAGCCTCCCAAAGTGCTAGGATTACAAGCGTGAGCCACGGCACCCAGCCATAATTTTTTTTAAATTTTGTTGTAGAGATAGGGTCTTGCCACATTGCCTAGGCTGGTCTGAAGAGATTCTACTGCCTTGGCCTCCCAAAGTATTGGGATTATAAGCATGAGCCACTGCACCTAGTGTTGGGCACAGTGGCTCACGCCTATAATCCCAGCACTTTGGGAGGCTGAGGCCGGCAGATTGCTAGAGCTCAGTTTAAGACCAGCCTGGGCAACATGGTGAAACCCCGTCTCTACTAAAAATACAAAAATTAGCTGGGGCATGGTGGCGCACACCTGTAGTCCCAGCTACTCTGGAGACTGAGGCACAAGAATTGCTTGAACCCGGGAGGCAGAGACAGCAGTGAGCCAAGATGGTGCCACTGCATTCTAGCCTGGGCAACAGAGCGAGACACTGCCTCAAACAAAAAAAGAAAAATTTAAGTCAACTTTCAGATTCCATTTATAGTCACCAACATGTCTTGTCTTTTTTTTTTTTTTTTTTTTTTGAGATGGAGTTTCGCTTTTGTTGCCCAGGTTGGAGTTCAGTGGCGCGATCTCAGCTCACTGCAACCTGCAACTAACTCTTGGGTTCAAGCAATTCTCCTGGCTTAGCCTCCCGAGTAGCTGGGATTACAGGCATGTGCCACCACACCCAGCTAATTTTGTTTTTAGTAGAGACGGGGTTTCTCCATGTTGGTCAGTATGGTCTAGAACTCCTGACCTCGGGTGATCTGCCAGCCTTGGCCTCCCAAAGTGCTGGCTGGCATTACAGGTGTGAGCCACCATACCCAAGCCAACATGTCTTGTTTTAACTGAAATGTATGGTCCAAACTGCACAAAACCACACTCAATCTCTTCTGAAAAACTATTCTGTTTAATAGTGCACTTCATTTATGCTACAGGATGAGCAGGGTTAGGAAAACACAATGGAAGGTCATCCCGTCGGTTGGGAATACTTGGAGAACGCCATCCTCACCCAGCAACGAGCTCTGCCACCAGGCTCAGGCACAGCCTGCCTTCTCTGGGCTTCGCTTTTTTTCCCCCTCCTTTTGGGCTTTGCTCTTTATCTGCATTAATCTTCAGCTGCTGAAGAGTCAGAGGTGGAGGCAGGAGCGGTCAGAGGTGAGAGGGCAGGGTAGGCAGGCTGAGTGAGCTCCTTGAAAGCATCCTTACCCAGGCATTTAGAGAAAAATCATTTTCATCACTGGAGTGGGAAGAGGACGAGAGGACAGGAATCAGAGGCCAACGCTAAGTGCTTCTGACCCTCTCCCTCACAGCCAGTTACTAGCTGTTTGGATAGATTTGCCCATTCAGCCCCAGGACAACTGGGGAGGGCGGGGGTCTGCCGGCAGTATCACCGGGTTTCTCTTGGAAACATGGTCTGGCTGCTCCAAGAGCCCTAAAGGACATCATCGTCACAGAAGATGTTTCTGGAATCTCTTTCACCCTCAATAAAATAATCCCTCAATGCCAAATTTCCATAATTAATAAAATCATGAAACAAAACAGCATGTTCCTTATCGAAACTTAAAGCTGGACTAGGAACAATAACTTTGAAATAGTCTCCGTTTCCCCTCCCTAGCAAATAACAAGACCCAGAGCGTCCTTTCCACTGCTGTCTGTGCTGACTACGTGGACTCCAACTAAAGGAATCCATCAAATTCTGTCCCGACTGTGCTTCCGTCCCCACCCTGGAAAGGTTCCTCTGCTGTGAGAAAAACGGTTTAGTGCAAACTCCTTTCCTAAATGGGGTGACTGGTCCCACAGCTGCTTTCTGTTCCCAGCACACCATCCGCTTGCCTTGTCGCTTTCCAAGGCTGGTGCGATTTCTGGTAAAATTCACTGATTTGCCCAATCTGCCCTATTCTCTAAAATGAAAGGTCTGAGTTGGAAGGGACACATCCTAAGCTGTTGAGATTTATAGAGTAAGGCAAGAGCTCTTGAGACTCAGGGGAAGTGAGGAAAATGGGTGTGTGGCTCTTTCACGTGGACTCTCTGATATTTAACTCGGTCGTAACTCTGAGGGAGTTTTTGCTCATGCCCATCCCATTCAAAGGCTTCTCTCCAGTGTGAATTCTCTGATGGCGAACAAGAGCCGAGCTGTACCTGAAGGCTTTCCCACACTCACTACATTCATAGGGGTTCTCCCCGGTGTGGATTCTTTGATGCTGAATAAGGCCTGAACTGTAGGTAAACTTTCCTCCGCATTCCATACATTCGTAGGGCTTCTCTCCAGTGTGGATTCTCTGGTGCTGATAGAGGTGTGAGCTCTGGCTGAAGGCCTTCCCACACTCATTACATTCATAGGGTTTTTCTCCAGTGTGGATTCTCTGATGGTGAATAAGGGTGGAGCTCCTGCTGAAGGCCTTCCCACATTCATTGCAGGCGTAGGGTTTCTCACCAGTGTGGATTCTCTGATGGTGGGTGAGGGTGGAGCTCCAGCTGAAGGTCTTCCCACACTCATTACATTCATAGGGTTTCTCCCCCGTGTGGATCCTCCGATGCAGAATGAGGGCAGAGCTACAGCTGAAGGTTTTCCCACAATCACTACATTCATAAGGTTTCTCCCCAGTGTGGATTCTCTGATGCTGAATAAGGTGTGAGCTCTGGCTGAAGGCCTTCCCACACTCATTACATTCATAGGGCTTTTCCCCGGTGTGGATTCTCTGATGTTGAATAAGGTCTGAAGTTCGATTAAAGCTCTTGCTACATTCATCACACTTATGGGGTCTGTCTCCCACGGGGAGTCTCTGATGTGAGATAAGGTTGGAATTCACAGTGAAGCTGTTCCCAAAGTCATTATATTTCTCACTTCTCTCTCCCATGGGGGTTATCTTCTCCTCAACTGTCACTTGACCAAAATCTTGCATTTTCCTGGTCAATCTTTCTCCAGGGGAGTTCCCCAGTGGCCTCTTTAGACTGACTTCTCGTTCATAGGCTTCTTTAAACTTGAGACCCTGAGAAATATCCTTCTGAAATCTTCCCAGTAGGACCCCATGTGATCTTGTGTCTTCAGAAATTTCTTGATCATTTTCAGTTCTGGTCTCACGATCTGACACAATAAAAAATGCAAATGTCACTTGTTCCTTGGGGAAGAAAGAGTGAAAATCACAGGACAGGATCATCATAATGAATACTTACAGTGCCAAGAGCACATGCCTGCAAAAAGGCCTGCCCCATATGTGTGCAGCTAAGGCAAAATGAGACAACCAGGCTAAGGAGACAGGGAAGGGGCAGGGCAGAGAGCAAAACCAAGGAGAACAGAGCTGGAAGTGGAGAGACAGCTGAGTGTGTGTGGAGGGGAGGACGGATCAGGCAGAGAGGTAGGGAACCAATATTAGAAGAGGAAGGTCATATTGCTTCATGAAGTGACAAAGCCTTTAGAGAGATCAGGGCAGTGGATATAACTGGGGACACAGTGACTGCAAGAAGGGAAAGCAAGTACAGTACAGTTGGTGAGAAA